TATCAAAATAGGACCAAATATCAGCATCAGCCAATTTCAGCATCAACCACGACAATAATTATTTAGTGAATTTACCTTTCTCGAATCTCTTGCCATTGAAGGATCCATGCTTCCAAGGAAGGAAACCCATTTCGCTTCACGGTCACGATATGAACGAATAGAGCGAGCAGTCTTTTCTTCAACTCCTGGCACTTGAACACTGATAATAATTAAAGTGTTAAATAGTATAAATTAATATGTTTTATATAAATTATATATACAAATTATATATACAAATTATATATCTTATATACAAAACTATATATTTTATATACAAATTATATATCTTATATACAAAATTATATATTTTATATACAAAATTATATATTTTATATACAAATTATATATTATATATATTTTAAATACAAATTAATCAAATTTCCATACATTCTTTGTATCCCGTTAGCACCTTCAGGAATTTCATGTTCAGCAACATTATGGACAAAACCATAATCATCAATAGCAAGAACTTTGTCTTTCCTAGTACTATCAGTTTTTTTTTTAGGATCCATGTTTTTTAATGATTTTGTTTCTAGCTCATCTTCGTCTGAACTAATATCTTCACTATCATTAGTACCACTATCATTACCATTTTCATACATGAAAGGAGCCATAGGCCTTGTGATGTCAATTGACGAGTTATTATTGCTATGATAAAGACTATCATCATCATCAAAATCATCTTTTGAACTATAGTTCTTTTTTAAAGGGCGTCGTTTATGACGACCTTCTAGTTCACCATCATCAACTAAAATTTGAGGTACGACTTTTGGAGAAGATAATGGAGGAGTAGGTGAAGAGAATTGTCTAGCAGAAGGACTAGAAGGAACAATTGTTGGTGAAGATAATGGAGGGGTAGGTGAAGAGAATTGTCTGGCAGAAGGATTAGAAGGAATGACTTTTGGCGAAGATAAAGGAGAATTAGAAGAAAATTGTCTAGTAGAAGGGTTAGAAGGAATAACTTTTGGTGAAGATAAAGAAGAATTAGATGAAGAAAATTGTCTAGTAGAAGAATTATTAGAAGGAATAATCTTTGGTGAAGATAAAGGAGAATTAGAATTAAATTGTCTGGCAGAAGGATTAGAAGGAACAACCCTTGGTGAAGATGGTGGAGGAGTGGGAGAAGAAGTTTGCCTGTAGGAAGGATTAGAGGGAGCAATCCGTGGTGAAGATGGAGAAGGAGTGGGAGAAGAAGTTTGTCTATAGGAAGGATTAGAGGGGACAATCCGTGGTGAAGATGGAGGAGGAGTGGGAGAAGAAGTTTGTCTATAAGAAGGATTAAAAGGAGTAACATTTGGAGAAGATTGCGGAGGAATAGGAGAAGAGAATTGTCTATAAGGAGGATTAGAAGGAATAATGTTAGGGGAGGATTGGGGAGGAGTGGGGGAAGAAAATTGCCTAGAGGAAGAGTCAGAAGGAATAATATTTGGGGAGGATAAAGGAGAATTAGGAGAAGGAAATTGCCTAACAGAAGAATTGATAGAATATTCTCTGGAACCACCCGCGTGATGTTGATTAATTTTAACTTCTGGCGATCCTGAAGAGACCAATTTATTTTGCATTTGAGAAGGATTATTTAAATCAGGTTGAGGAACACGAGATATATCTATATTTTTCACGATAGGTTTTGAAAAATTATTCTCATGATTATTAAAAGGACCATTTCCTTCATAGTTCTGATTATCATCATTAGAATATGTTATACTAATTGTTGGAGTAATTGATGGCGAAGATGGTTCTGTAAAAAACAAAAACTTTCAATGAGTAAAGGAAATAGAAGATAATTTTGAAGCACAAGTCGAAAGCAAGTTACATAGCAGACCACTAATAATATCCACCGAAGACATAGAAGACGAACGAGATCTAGTTTGAACATTTTGACTAACATCAGACGGACGAAGATAAGAGTTTTGCTGTAATTGTCTTTGAGAATTATCAGGTAATAAACCATCAGGATTCTTTGTTCGAGCCAAATTATCACAAGATTTTGAAGATAATTGAGTTTTCAAAGGACCATTAAATGAAACAGATTTTCCTCTAAAACGTCCAATCACTCCCTCACAAAATCCCTGTTTAGACATATAAAATATGATATAAAATATGAGGTTAAAAGAAAACGAAAGAAATGAAATTAGATATTAATGATATAACAAAACTTACAAGATAAATATCGCCGTCAATATGTTTCAAGACAGTAATAACTTCACCTAAAATTAAGAAGAATTGGTAAAAATAATCCGGACAATTCAATTAGAATTAAGTAGAATTCAAGTAGAATTCAAGTAGGTAAATGTAATAAGATATCGTTACCGGTATAAAACATTAAGTCAATTTGAGAATTCGCCAACGTGTCCTCAATAGCAACGCATGTACCAATCCCTCCTATGGTTTTTCAAACGAATAATTATACAATATAATAAAATATAAACAGTATAAAGATAACGGACACCAAGAGAACTAACAAACCTTTTGCAGCAAACTGGTGTAATTTTTCAAGTTTTGAAGCTTTTTGTGATGACATTTGGGTCAGTCTCTACTGTTATGAGTATTCTTGATCAGATTTTGCTTATTTAGACCATATTCTTGAGTAGGTGCTCTACTCATAGTATAGGTTTTGTGGCATGAATTACAAAGTGATTTATGAAAAATTCTCGGGTTGAAAGTTATTTGTTTATATAACAATTTTTCGGTTCTAAATTTGAAATCTTGCATATCATGTGATGCATATTGATGATCTACATTGACTTGATTGGTCAATCAAGTTAGACATTCTAAATACGGTTACGGTTTGAGTATTTATTATGTTACGATTGTATACATAAAAATACATAAAATTAAGGAATTTAAACACAAAACTATAAGTAAATGTGATTTGGACATTTATTGCCAAACAAGAAAGAGTAATGAAATTCCCAAAATCGAAATTCAATGGGTCTACGGCATCTCTTATTGCTGTATTGCATCTTATAAACCTATAAATCAATTGCAATGATGTTTATTGAACTTCTTTTGAAGAATAAAAAGAATAAAAAGAATAAAAAGAATAAAAAGAATAAAAAGAATAAAAAGAATAAAAAGAATAAAAAGAA